TATTTCCCTTCATAAATATCAAAATAGCGAATCAATCACTTTTTGTGGTGTCGTCACTTTTACTTCTCTTTGACTTTAATTAGGGGACAAGTAGTGAAGTGAGTGAAACTTATTAGTCGCCGGAGATAATGGGAAGAGCGCCGTGCTGTGACAAGGTGGGAATAAAGAAGGGGCGGTGGACGGCGGAGGAAGACCAGATTCTCTCCGACTATATTCGGTCTAACGGCGAAGGCTCGTGGCGGTCTCTTCCAAAAAATGCCGGTAATATTATATACATGCTCTATCTCTTTCTCTCTCGCATGCATCTTTTGTTCTATCAAAACTTAAGTGTTTTTATTTTTATTTTCTTGCTAATAAACTAAAAGGAATTTCTAGTAATCTTCATAGATAGTGGAAGTCGTTTGGTTTCTCGACTTAAAACCACATGATGAAGTTTTGATGAAGTTTTCCATCTTTTTGTAACTTTAAAGACTTTAATTTTAATCTCATGCATCTCAAAAGTCATAAGAAAATATGCTCCTACTGCTTTCATATTTGCATCAAGAAGTTAATTGGTTCAATTCCACAATTTGAGTGTAAAAACGGTGATATTTTCTCAAGGGTTCTTAAATCTTAATTAATCGTTATGTTGTTTTGCAATATATACATAAGTTCGGAAATTAAAATAATATCGTGAGTTAATTTGATGAAAATACTGTAGTTTAGAAAAACTCAAACATATACTGTAACAATTAAATAATACTAACATAACTTTATAGGAGTACATGTTTCAAATAAAAACATAACTTTATAGGAGTACATGTTTCAAATAAAAACATAACTTATGTATACAGTATACTGTATAAGCAATAATCTTTTGCGAGTTGTTAATAACTGACAATTAAAGCATTTAATAAAACGTCAAGTTGGCCTTGAATAATACTCCATGATTTAACAGCATTTGATTTGTTTCCATTTAATGTATCCTTACCGTAACGACTGTAATGAATAATACTTCGCATAATTGTTCTTTTCTAGTGAAAAAAAAATTCATTGCAACATGGGAAATTGTAATATTCTAATAAGAATATTATTTATGTGTGGGACCAATTGGCCTTCTTGTCCTCACACAC